TAATATAATAAATATATATATATATATATATATATATATATATATATATATATATCAGAGACTTGAAGATTGGTAAAATGTGTTTTTGTGATACTTTTATGATTTTTTTTCCAGAGCCAAAAAAGAGCATTCTGCATGGACATACTTCTTAGCTTCTTTCATATAGAAGAAAGAAATTCGTACAGGTTTGAAACAACATTAAGGTGAGCAAATGAGGACAGAATCTCCATTGTTGTGTGACTGTTCCTTTAAATGTGAAATTTCTGAAATTATACAGTAAAGGAAGGATGTGCAAGTTCTGACATGCTGCACATTATGGCTCAAAAAACTAAATTTACATGCTCAGAATGACTCTGTTAGTTTAGCTTCCTCTTTAATCATGGTCACATGAAATATTTTTAAAATGCTTGTAAACAATGTTTCTTTAAGTGACCGAGGTCAATATCTAGAGAGCGGGCTTGCAGAAGTTTGATGGATTGTAATGATGGCACGAGACGTAACAAAATAAACTATTTCACATAGTAGCCTATTTATGTATACACACTAAAAAATGTTGGGTTGTTTCAACCCAATGTTGGGTCAAATATGGACTAACCCAACTGTTGGGTTAAAAAGCTAATTTAAAAATGTAACCAAAATTTAACCCAACAGTTGGGTTAGTCCATATTTGACCCAACATTGGGTTAAAACAACCCATATGGACTAACCCAACTGTTGGGTTAAAAAGCTAATTTAAAAATGTAACCAAAATTTAACCCAACAGTTGGGTTAGTCCATATTTGACCCAACATTGGGTTAAAACAACCCAACATTTTTTAGAGTGTATTATATTATTTATATTATATATAACACTTTTTACATGTTTTTGAAAGAAGTCTCTCTTGCTTACCAAATCTGCATTTATTTGATTAAAAAAAACAGTAAAATCAATAATATTGTGAAATATTATTACAATTTAATAGAACTGTTTTTAAATATTTTTTCAAATGTAATATACTCCAGTCTTCAGAGTCACATGATCTTCAGAAATCATTCTTAATATGCTGATTTGCTGCTAAAGAAACATTTCTGACTATTATCACTGTTGTGCTGCTTCATATTTTTGTGGAAACTGTAATGCATTTTTATTTTCAGGATTATTTGATGAATAGAGAGTTCAAAATATATATTTTTTGTAACATTACAAATGTCTTTACTGTCACTTCAATTTAATACATCCTTGCTAAATTAAAGTATAAATTTACTTCTTTCAAAAAAAGTCTTATTGATGCCAAACGCTTGAACAGTAGTTTATTTACATTATCCATCGCCAAGACTGCGGGCAAAATTTAAAAAAATTATATATATATATATATATATATGTGTACACAGTTCATTGAAACACATGTTGACCATAGTGGGGCAAGTTGTCACACAGAAACTTAAGAAACAAAACAAATACATGTATAAAAATAACCGATATTGTTAGTAATAAATTGTATACATATATACCATAATATATAATAAATATATTTATGAAAAACAATTCAGCCTCTTCATTATACAGTTGGTCCTTGTTTTTAGGTATCTCACTGCGGTTTTATTGTGTTCATTTATTTAGTACAAAAACACGATGACATTAGAATTACAGTGTAGTTTGGATGTTAAAAGTCATCAAAATATTCTAATTTAGGAGCTAGGCATTTGAAACCAACATACAAAACCACTGCTGGATAATTGTATTTTTTGACAAGCCTGGTCTCTCCTACTTATTGTACATGATTACAGACTAATGCTAACCGTCCTGATTTGCAATCTAAACGACCTGTGGTTTTACTTTCATGCTGCATCTGGCGGTGCTATTCGAGTTGCTGCTGGCGTTGTTATCCAAAGTCTGGCTACTCTGATCTCCTTTCTGCTCCGAGCTTGTCATTTTCATCAGGATGCTTTTATATGCCATCTTAATCTTAGGGACCTTGAAAGCGTACACTATGGGGTTAATGGCGGAGTTAGCATGAGAGAGGAGGATGCCGACGTGAAATGCGACAGGGGGCACTTTGACAATCATGTAGTAATCCAGCGTGTTCATTATGTGCAGTGGAAGCCAACAAACAGCAAACAGAACCAGAACCAAAGCCAGAGAATTGGCCAGTCTCCGCTCCTTATGGTAAAATGACGTGGACTCCACAGCACGAATCCCGACTCCTTTTCTGAGCTGTTTGGATATCATATTGAAGAGCAACAAGTACAGGACCATCATGATGATGGTGGGTGTAAGGATGCAAGCGAGGAAGTTGAAGTTGACCATGTAGGACATGTGTATGACGGTTATGAAATGACATGTAATAGTGGAGTTTTCAGCGGTTGTGGTGTCTTTTTTGTGCCATCCAAGCATGGGAATGAGACCTAGTATAAAAGCAGAGAGCCAACATATAGTGACCGCGGTCCATAAGTGCTTCTTTTTGACTGCTCCTCTGTACCTGAAAATTCAAAAGATTATTTGAAGAAATTGAATAATAATTGAAAAAAAAAATATATATATATATATATATATGTATATATATATATATATATATATATATAAGATATTTATTTATACACTATACACAATTTATTGATACACAATCATTTTAAAAGTTTGGGGTTGGTAAAAAATTTTTTCTAATGTCTATGAAAATCTCTTCTGCTCACCGAGGCTGCATTTATTTGATCAAAAATGCAGTTAAAAAATGGGAATATTGTGAATTTTCAGCATCATTACTCCAGTCTTCAGTGTCACATGATCTTCAGAAATCATTCTAAGATGCTGATTTGCTGCTCAAGAAACATTTCTGATTATTATCAATATTAAAAACCGTTGTGCTGCTTCATACCTTTGTGGAAACTGTGATATATTTTTGTTTTCAGGATTCTTTGATGAATAGAAAGTTTAAAAGAACTGAATTTATTTAAAATATAATTGTTTTGTAACATTATAAATGTCTTTACTGTCAGTTTTGATCAGTTTAATGCACCCTTGCTGATTAAAGTATTAATGAACATTCATTTCTTAAAACATTACTGACCCCAAACTTGGAATCAGTTGGGTCATTAAAAGCGGGCATTTTAATGCTTAAAAATGATATTAAAATGTGTAATTTTCAAAGGCAGAGCAAGTCTGATAGCAGATTATGAAAAGATTTCTGTGAAATAAATACATTCTTAATGTACTATAAGATTGTAAATGGGGTCCATTTAGATTTCATGCTGACTTGAGGAATGTTTTTGCTTCAAGTTGCATGTTATCACTGAGATCTATACATTTGATTTCCTCCTTATCAGCAAGCTTGATCAAATTGGCTGTCACACAAGCAAGTCTTCAAATATGCATTGCAAAAAAGCATGACAATTATGAAATGTTCAGACCTGAGAGGGTTATAAACACGCAGGTATCGGTCCACAGCGATGGCCAGCAGGGAGTGAACAGAGGCCTGGGTCAACACAATGACCACACAGCTGATGAAGAGGCAGCAGTGAAAACTAGTCTTCAAGCGTCCGTCAACCACCACAGCGAAAGGCACTGCCACTGCTCCCACCAGAAGATCAGCCACCGCCAGAGACGCAACGAAACAGAATGTAGTCTGACTCAAGGCACGGCACGACCAAACCGCCCAGATCACCAGCATGTTCCCCAGGCAGCATCCTACAGCGATGAGCACCTCCAGGGAAGTATAGATCACCTCCTCACCATCAGCCATGATGAGAATAAGCACAGGAACTCTACAGGAACTTACTTAAAGTGGTGGTGGTTTAAATAGGAAGTTGTCTTCTTCACACATAAAGAAGCAAACATGCTCACACACACACACACACGCAAATCATTTTTTGCAAGATCAGTACTTTGGAGTGACTTTTTACATTTGAAAATAAATAAAGAGAATGTTTTAGAAATTTGAAAAATAAATGTTTAAAAATAAATGAACTGTTTTCAGCAAGAACACATTAAATTAATCAAAAGCGAAGACATAAAGACATGCATGATGTTACAAAAGATTTATTTGAAATAAATGCTGCTCTTTTGAACTGTCTATTCATCCAAGAATCCTGAAAATATATATAATCACAGTTTCCACAAAAATATAAAGAAGCACAACATTGTTTTCAACAATGACAAGAAATGTTTGTTTCTATTTTAGACAATCATTTTAGAACATGTTTTAAACATATTTTAGATATCTTAATGTTTATATTTTAAAATACATTCAAAAATAAAAGTTATTTTTAAATTATAATAATATTTCACAATTTTACTGTATTTTTGATCAAATAAATGCAGCATTGGGGAAAATAGGAGACTTCTTTCAAAAATGTCACCACTCCCAAACATTTGAACAAAATGATGTATATTTATGATTATGCATTTTTAAGTCATTTTTAGCAGATCATTTAATCCAAAGCAATTTACATTGCATTCAAGGTAACGTTAGGCTATAGATTTGATCAAGTTCATGCATTCCCTGCGAATCAAACATATGACCGTAGTACGGAAGTAGCATTGCTAGCACCATACTCTGCTGTTTGAGATATCTATAAATTTGTGTTTATAAATAATATGTGCTTGGACTTCTCTATTGGCACCTAAAGTATAAAAATAGGCCTACACATACACACTTATGGTGGTGTGCCATTAAATTGTGGCTAAGCTCGTGGCTGGTAAAGCTGCTGCTGTTTGATCGCTTCAAGAAGTGTGTCAACTACATCACCATTGTGCTCTCGAGCAAGGTATGCAGTGATCAGAAATGATTGATTGTCAGTCATTCATTCATGTTCTTGGTCTTATTGTGCATGATTCATCAGTAGACTAGCCTACATGTTATTGTGTAGAAGAAAAAAAAACGTTTAATCAGTTCAAAATCAATTCAAAATATAATGTTATCTCTGCCTCTAAAACAAATTTTCCTTATGATTGACGTCACCTTGACCATGCTGGCAAGTAGCCTAATGATTTGAAAAGCAAGTGTTAGCATTGGGATATCTCCTCTAACTTATTCATGTCAATCATAAAGAGTAAGTTTTTCCCCCCATAACTGTTAGGCCTTGTTGTTATCAGAATGTGTCGTTTGCAATTCACCCAGAACAAAAATATGTTTAAGCAAGTTTCATTTGACCTCACACTTCTCTTTTCCTATGAAACAGCAAACAGTTCCCACTTAAAATGACTGCAAAACTCACTCAAACTAAAATTTTAGGCTGGTTTGCCGTCAAACAGCGCTCTTCAATGTCAAAATTACTGAGATGACCAATCAAATCAAAGAATGCGGGGTCCGGGCCTCAGCATTCTCTATTCCAGCAGACACTGCAGACTTTAATATTTAGTAGATGTTTTTCGATAGAAATGTTCAAAAGACAAACAGTAATATCCTGTAACGCAAAATAGCCTGCTCTAGCCCCCCCCCCCCAAATTTGACAGTTTACGTGACGACAACTGAATGGGTTTTTATGCACACATTCACTCTTAATCGTATGCCTATTTTAAAATGAAAAACATTATTTGCAAACAGTTCAGATTACAAACACACACACACACACACACACACACACACACACACACACACACACACAAAGAAAGCCATTTAAATCATTTAATTACTTAATTACTTTAAATAAAAAAGACCAACTGTTTTATCCATACAATGGGGAAAAACAGATCTTTTTCAAAACCTGAAATGTAATCATATAGGTTTAGAATGACAGTAAATGATGACAAAATTAGATTTTTTTTGTGAACTACACTGTTAATCTTAGCATACAGCGCCATCAGCTGTTAGATGTAGTGAATATGAAGTTATTTGACTTTGACATTACTTTTTCTAAGTTACTTGACTTAAATCATTCTTTAGTTGTCTTTGTGGGGTCCAGCTAAAGGACCCCACAAAGTAATATATTTCTGTTTTTACTATCTTTGTGGGGACATTAGGACCCCACAAAGTAGTATAAACAAGGATGTGTGTGTGTGTTCAGTACATTATGATTGTAATGCTTCATTATGAAGTATTAGCCAATTGTTTTAACTCATGTTCTAAAACCACTATATGACCCTTTTTAGTGGAGAGTAAAAATAGCTTCTCTGTTTCCTCCCTGCCTATGCAGCTCTCACTGTAGTAGTTACACAGAGGTTTCTAGTCCTGTAAGCACAATGGTATCAGGTGGAGGATTCATTTCTCTTGAAGTGCTCATTGCAGCGGGATGCTGTCTGGGCAACGTGTTGGTGATCTGGGCCGTGTGGAGAAGTGGAGCCCTGAACAAACCCACTTTCTGCTTGATCGTGACGCTGGCAGTGGCTGATTTCCTGGTTGGGGCTGTGGCCATTCCTCTGGCTGTGGTTGTGGAGAGATCCATGTGAAGATCCCTTTCCATGCCTGTCTCTTCATCAGTTGTGTTCTCATCGTACCGCTGCAAGCGTCAGTACTCACCCTCCTGTCCTTACTGCTGTGGACCGGTGTCTGCGGGTTTGTATCCCATTCAGGTGAGTCGGCCTCCAGAGGCCACATTGTGTGTGTGTGTGTGTGTGTGTGTGTGTGTGTAAATGTTATTGCAGTACGGCTTTTTTCAGACTAAACCTTTCTAATCTAATTTAATCTTACTGAGGTTGCAGTTACACGGTTATGGCAATAGGGCGCCTCAAAACACCACAATCAAAGTCTGAGAGTAACTGAGGAACTGTATGACCTCTCTTATGGCTGATTGTGGATATTAGTGCACGTGTATGTGTAGTTTAGTGCACAATGATATGTCTGTACCATATTACAAATATGAACCTGCAGTGATTTGCAAAACAACTTGTTTAAATAAAAAAATAAGCTTCATTATATATGAGATGTTATTTGTGACCTTCATAATGTCTATGCAATGTGCATAATATTATTTTTAGAATAAGTCACTGAAAGCTTCACTCTTTATTTAAATTTTACATTTACATTTAGTCATTTAATAGACGCTTTTATCCAAAGCAACTTACAAATGAGGACAATAGAAGCAATCAAACTAACAAAAAAGCTATAATATGTAAGTGCTGTGACAAGTCTCGGTTAGTCTATCGTATATATATATATATATATGTATGTATATGTATAAAAGCTTTTGAACAGAAGCTTTTGAGAAGATTTTTTATGTTTTTTAAAGAAGTCTCTTCTGCTCACCAAGCCTGCATTTATTTGATCCAAAATACAGCAAAAAAAACAGTAATATTGTGAAACATTTTTACTATTTAAAATAACTGCTTACTATTTGAATATATTTTAAACTGTAATTTATTCCTGTGATTTCAAAAGCCGTTTTTCAGCATCATTACTCCAGTCTTCAGTGTCACATGATCCTTCAGAAATCATTCTAATATGCTGATTTCCTGCTCAAAAAACTTTTATTATTATTATTAATATTTAAAACAGTTGTGTACATTTTTTCAGGATTCTTTGATGAATAGAAAGACCCAAAGGTCAGCATTTATCGGAAATAAAAAGCTTTTGTAACATTTTACACTATACTGTACCAAAATCTTGGAGTCAGTATAATATTTTTAAATAAAAATGATAAAATTTAGAAGTTATAGAAATTAATACTTTTATTTAGCAAGGATGCTTTAAATTGATCAAAAGTGGTGATAAAGACATTTATAATGTTACAAAAGATTTCAATTTCAGATAAATGCTGTTCTTCTGAATTTTCTATTCATCAAAGAAACCTGAAAAAATTCTACTCAGCTGTTTTTAACATAATAATAATAATCAGAAATGTTTCTTGAGCAGCAAATCAGCATATTAGAATGATTTCTGAAGATCATGTGACACTGAAGACTAGAGTAATGATGCTGAAAATTCAGCTGCGCATCACTGGAATAAATTACATTTGACAATATATTCAAATAGAAAACAGTTATTTTAAATAGTAAAAAATATTTCACAATGTTACAGTTTTTACTGTATTTTGGATCAAATAAATGCAGGCTTGGTGAGCAGAAGAGAATTCTTTAAGAAAACAATAAAAATTTTACTGTTCAAAAACTTTTGACTGGTAGTGTGTGTGTGTGTGTGTGTGTGTGTGTGTGTGTGTGTGTGTGTGTGTGTGTGTGCGTGCGTGTGTGTGTGAGTGTGTGTGTGTGTGTGTGTGTGTGTGTGTGAGATAAATAAAAGAAAATAATTTTAATGTGCTTTATTAGGATGACCAAAACTGTGCATTGCCAGTACATTTTCAGTATAGCAGCATACAAAAAGACATTCTGAAATTTAAAATAAACATAAATCATATTAACAAATTAAATAGAATATAAAGTAACAGTGCCAAATAAACTAAGAATTATAAAAACTGTAATAAAAACAGTATGATACTTTAGTTAGATACCTTAGTTTTTATTTACCCGTTTTTCTTTGTACATCTTTTAACATTTACAGGTACAGACCGGTTAAAGATACTCCAGTCAATCTGTCTCTTGATATTCATAATGATGTGTTTTACCGTCGCTCGCTGAGTCTCTCAAGGAAGGCAACAGACTGTATAGTTATCACCTGAATAGGATGAGATCCTTCCCACAAACTATACAACCTACTACCTCAGCTTGTGGAGACACACAGTTCAGAATGGAGTAGAATTAAGAATGCAGTAGCTTAAAACATCAGTTAAAGTGTTTCCCGCAGTTTCTTCAGTAGACAGCTGGTTAATCTGCCTCCATAAGAAAGACAGTAGATTGTATAGTTATCTCAAA